CTCTCTCTCTCTCTCTCTCTCTCTCTCTCTCTCTCTCTCTCTCACACACACACACACACACACACACACACACACACACACACACACACATACCCCGACTCCCTGCCGTCACATACCCAATTCCGACAACCCCCTTCACCCCACCAGCATCCCCCATGGAAGCTGTCACCTTCCGTGCTTGCTCCTGGCCAGTCAGCGCCCTTGCCTGCCAGTCAAAGTGGCAGGGTTTGCGCTCCGGTCCCAGCCCAAATCCCCCCCAACTGACGACGTGCGCATTCCTTAAAGGAATGTGCATGACCTGGTTGGGGCTCTCGAGTAACACCTGCCCAACCCAGTACTGAATCGGGAGCCCGCCCCAGAGTTGCGCCCTGGGCCCCTTACAGTTGGGATCCCAGGAGTGTGACGTGCTGCGCGCTGCACGCCACAATTTCATTGGGTGGCGGCCAATGCGCGACGTGGCGGCACTGAAGGCTGTGGCTTTCCTTGAGAAGAGCACAAACACACTGCTGTGGCCTGATTCAGCGCCTGGGCCACGAGGCCAGGCTCACGGAAATCTGGCCCCCAGGGCCTTCTGCCAAAAAATATATGGGGCGCGGGTGAGGGACGCTTAGGCCTCTGAGAGGGCCTTATTCCTCGCATGCTTTTACCGAGCAGGAGCTTTCCCATTGAGATTATTTTCGTATTCGGGGACGATCTGAGATGTTGTCTTCATCAGCTCCTCCTCCTTGAACCAATGATCTTCTTTCGGATCCATCTGATGCCTGAATCTGACCCGGTATTCCCTTGGAGGTTTCGGTGGGCGTCCACTGCCAATAGGCCTTGGTGCAGGCATACCTCTGTGCTCCATGATGTCGTCGATGTCCACGTAGCCATCGATGGTTGGGGGCAGCATCGACCTCCTTGAGGGAAATTGATTAGCCTTGGGAAAGGTGCAAGCTTTAAGGCGTGAAAAACAGGGTAAGTGCGAAGGTGACCAGGGATACGAATGATGTAGGATGGACCATCCGGATGATTCCCAACAATATCCAAGACTTCCCAAGGACCAAAATACTGCGGCATTATTTTCCTAGAGATGCCGAATTCCTGTCCTGGTTCACTAGACTTAACCCAGAATCGTTCTCCAACCCGAAATGTGGACTGT